CGGAGGGTATAGCCTCAAACAGGAAGAAAGACATGGACAGTACACAGAATACACCTCAAAGCCACAGCAATTGCAGTCAGGGATAAGATGCAGCCTGGAGGGTATAGCCTCAAACAGGGCAGGCCTCTCTGATACCAGAGCAGAGATCAAGTACAGAAAAGGGCTTTGTACAAAAACGGACTCAAGAAGTAGGCAGACTGTCATGGAAGGAGCCTAGAAACAGAGGCATGAGGACTGCCTTCTGAGTACCACATGGCCCATTATACCCACCAGGCAGGCACTGCTATCAATCCATTTTATAGATGAGGAAACTGAGACTCAGGGATGCAAATTCATGGCCCAAAGTCATGCCTCAAAGGAACAAATGGAGTAGGCCTAAGTGAGAGCCCTGGTGCACACAGACCCCAGCAAGAGCAGCAGTCAGAGGATCAGACCAGCCCAGAGTCTGCCCCATTCCAGGGTATCTCACTCCTCTGTGCCACATCTTCTCTCTGAGCCTGGCAGGTGGGTGAAGGGCTCCTCTCCTCACGTTGCAGACCAGAGGTGGCAAGGGCCCTGCTCTTGCACAAGGAGCATGGCTGGCCGTGGCCCCAGATTGCTCTGTTCTCCAGGGCCCCCACAAATGCTCTAAACAGCACCAACTCCCCAGCAACAGAAGGGCATGGCCTCCTGCACAAGTGACCCAGCCCTGGATATGTTCCAGGTCTGGGCTGTTCCCAGGGTGGTTGGGGAGCAGCCCACTCCCCACAAATACCGTGTGGGTCATCAGCCCCAGAAAAGGCCCTCCTGCCTCAGCGAGACCCCAAACCACTACAGTTGGGACTTTAGTCATCCTCTTTGGCCCTGAGGTGGGTCCAGTTCCCAACAAGGCAGGGTGGGCCATGTGGTGTTACCACCCCCACAGAGGCCAAGCCAAACCCTGCCCAGTGGTGACACGCAAGGTACATCTGATCCTAAATGCCTCACGGGAGTGTCTGAAGATAAAAGGGGATTGAGAATTCCAAGTAATCTTCAAAATGACCTCACAGAGCAATGATACTCAGAAGAAAACAGAACTGGGGAGAGAAAAGCCTGGAACCCAGCTGGGCACCCAGTGAAAGCCACAACGGGGACAGAAAGAAGCATCCGTGGTTTTCTGTCTAATAAATTTCTCCACTAGTCTTGTGATCAGACACAGTTTGGGAATAATCATTTTGGTAGCAAAAGACACATATCCTTTTCAACAAAATTAAGCCAAGGGGGGAAAAAATCAGACTTAAATGTTCCAGATGCAGACAACACTGATGTGCTGACGGAAAACCTTGGACCTTCACCAGGGAGACAGTAAGGGTCATGACTCAAGAAGTGCCTTCTCGGCCAGGCATGGTGGATCACGCCTGCAATCCCAGGACTCTAAGAGGTAGAGGCAGGAGGATTTCTTGAGCTCAGGAGTTAAGACCAGCCTGACCAAGAGGGAAACCTACCTCTACCAAAAATAGAAAAATTAGCTGGGCATGGTGGTGGGCACTTGTAGTCACAGCCACTCAGGAGGCTGAGACACGAGGATCACTTGAACCCACGAGTTTGAGGTGGCTATGAGGTATGATGACACCACAATACTCTATCCAAGTGACAGAGTGAGACTCTGTCTCAAAAAAAAAAAAAAAGAAAGAAAGAAAAAAAGAAAAGAAAAGAAAAATTACCCAGGCATTTGAGTGAATGCCTATAGTCCCAGCTACCTGGGAGGAAGAGGTAGAAGCCCTTGAACCCAGGAGTTTGAGGTTGCCTGAGCTAGGCTGAGGCCATGGCACTCTAACTGGGGCAACAGAGTGAGATAGTCTCAAAATAAAAAACCAAAACAAGTCTGTGCCTTCTCTCCCTGAGCCAACGTCCCTACAGAGAGTCACCACCACAAAGAGAGAGAAGGAAAGGGAGAAAGCCCCCTAGCCATGAGGCTCTTCCTGTGTATAACCAACATGGAAAGGAACTGTGTGAACACAGGATGGAAAAGGAACCAGTTCTGCAAATGCAGACAAGTGGCTGGAGAAGGAGAGAAGCAGGTGGCCCGAGTGGAGGCTGAGGGAAGATGACTGTCCAGGGGACAGTCGGGAATTGCACCATGAGCACTCCCCCCAACCCCTTCTCCTGAGCTGGTTTGTTTGAAAGACATGGAAAGAACATTGGACAAAGGGAATGATCTAAGTATGCTCTGGCAGTTTCAAAGTCAATGGGATCACATATTTCAATATTGCCCAAAAAGCAGTATTTCCTGCTAAATCCAGTGTCTAACTGTGCCAGACAGACTCATCCCTGCTCCTGTGAGCCAGATTAGTATTTCTCCCGCCTGGTCCTTAGTGAGCAGCCATTCTGCAGGCTTCAAACACAGACAGCCTGGTGGCAGTGTGCTCAGATCGTTGCATATGGACACGAATACACACACACACACACACACACACACACAGGGCAGCTCCTCCTGGCTTGTAGGAGCCCCGTTTTGTAAGTGATGTAATGAAAGCTGCCATCCAGTCTGGGGGAGCCTCCTCCTCCACTTAGAACCTAAACAGAGGGTAACGGGGGAAGCAGCCTTCAGAAGACCAGCCTCTAAATAGACTCTTGTCTCATCTCCATGAGCAGAGCTTAAAAAAAAAGACAAGAGCATCCATAGCTCTTTAAAAAGTTAAAATTAATTTTCTCATTAATGATTGTGAGAAGGCACTAAACCTGCACTGGGAAAAAGCCAGGAGGGCCTGTGAGGCTGGACCTGCCGACCCTTGCACATGGTCATTTAGCAGAAGCTGCTGAGAATGCGATCTGAGGACCTACAGGGAAAGATGGGGGAAGGGACAGCGTTGCCAGGCAACGCGGACACACACTTTATAAAGCCAGAGCAGGCTGTGCTGTGCAGAGCGCTCAGCACGTGTAGGCTCCTGGGAGATGGCAGCGGTCTGGTCGCCACAGAGTGGCAGGAGACTGTCCGTACCGGGATATCTTTGGTTTCCAAGATGAGGCTGGGCACGTGCCGGGCAGACAGGCCTATGCGGATGGCACTGCAGATCCGCCTCACCAAGTCTGGCCCGAATGAGTGTCCAGAGGCCATCTTCAGGAAGAGAACCACTCTCTCCTCCCCATTCTTGTTTGGCTGGGGGATACATAGGCTGTCCATCACCTCTTCGAAGGCTTCCACTGTGGAGACAGGACAGGGTGACATGCACACAGAGTGCTCCTCAGCTGAGGTCCAGCCCCAACTGGCAAGGCAGGTGCAGACGCTGGGCTCCCCAGGCCTGAAAGAGGTATCTATGTCCTTCTCAGCCCCCCAGGTGGAGTGCCTTGCATGACAGTGGCAGAGGGAGCTGTTTCACAAGCACAAGAATAGCAGTCAAGGAGGAGGCAGAGCTCTGGCGTCCCCTGGACCACGTGAGGCTTTATAAGGGGGCCAGGTGCAACCTCACTTACTAATAACAATTTAATTTAAAATACAAAGGCAGCAAGTGCCTGTGGCAGGGTAAGGCAGACAGGGACTTCTCTACCCCGGCTACAAACATAACTCTGATGCAACTTTAGGATTCTGACCTAAACACTAACATATGAGGCCACCTGACCTTGAGGCCTGGGCTGGGCCTGGGTCCCTGGCCCTGCAGTTCTGAATGCCCCACTATGCAGTCATGAGACCTGGGGGCTACCCTGCCAGGACTTGCTGTGTGACCTCAGCAATCCTGTACCCTCTCTGTGCTTCTTTTTCTTCACCCATAAAGAGTAGGCACAATTTACCAACCTGTCTGAGCTCACCATCAGGATGAAATATAATGGAGAAGGGGATGGGTCAAGGGACCTTAAAAACCCCGTTCTGCGGTTTTATGAGCTACAGCAATGTGGCAGGTATGCTCTGGAAAGGAAGTGCTAAGAAAGGTCCCTTCTCACATCAGAGGCAAAGGAGCCAGAGTCATGGGGCTCTGCTAGCACATGCCCTCCCCCAGGATCACCGAGGGACATTCTGGGAGAAGGAGAAATGCGCACCAATGTTGTAGATTTCCGAACTGCCAAATCGCACTCCATTGGGGTTGAGCGTGCCATCACTGGAAAAAGAGATGAGGTCAGGGACACACGGCAGCTCTGGAGGGAGGCAAGTCACCAGGGGTCCCCAGCGGTGAGCATTTGCCAATTTTTACACATTTCAGCCCCGGGCTCAGTTGCTGAAGACTCCCTTGCCAGCTCCTTACCTCCAACCCACCACCCGCCTTTTCCCAAGTTTAAACTACACACCCAGGGAGGCCCCTCTGCGCAGAAACATCTCACCACACTGCCTTTCCCACCTGCACACATGTCCCCCCTCCGGGGTACAGACACTGGCTATACCTTTGCTGTGGCCCTGGTCTGAAACCCACCACTGCAGGCCCTCAGGAGGCTGGCACAGGAATACCCTCCTCTAGCAACTACACAGGAAAGGCCCAAGACAGGGACAGTCAGCCCATGCCACAGACTGAGCAGATGTCACGCCCTCAGAGGGGTCTTCAGTCAGGGGGACAGCATGTGCAAAGGCCATGGGTGGGAAAGCACAGAGAACCTGGGGAGTGCAGGGAGGGAAGGGAGGTCTAAGATAAGAACGAGAGGAATGTGTGGTGGGGACACCCTGATGGTGGGCTGGGGCAGGGCACCCAGGAAGGGGACACTGATTCTCATGGGCAGTGCTTTCTCTCCCCCTCCCCAGATGCCCCCTGACAGGGGCTCCATGCAAGAGAAGCCAAGTCCACAGACCCCTCACCTGCGGCCAAGCATGGTGATGCCCCCGGTCTTGGGGTTGATCCTGCAGTAGTCTCCATGTGTCCAGACACCTGCAAGGAGGGCAGAGGCGCACATCACCCCAAGGAGAAGGGGTTGTGACTGGTAGCCTGGACAGACACCCAAGGTATGTGTGACAGCAAAGGGAAGCTGTCCAGAGACATCACCCAGGCCCCCAAACAGGTATGTGTGGGGCTGGGGGCCCTGGGGTGTGGGTAGAAGGGAACTAGTCAGTTCCCGCCCCAAGAAATACGCCTTCCAGTGGTGACTGCACCTGTCCCACTCTGGCATGTGGAGAAATAGCTCCTGTAGATACCAATAAGGGTCACAGGAACTCAAGGGGGCAAGACCAACCTCAGCCATGACACTGGAGGTCAGCAGGAACACCCATAGGGGCCACTCTGAGTAGAGGATGGGGAAGAATGAGCCTCAGAAAGCAAGGATGGCCAGAGCAGCAGGGGTGCTGAGCCTGCGGGGACTGGCAGTAGATCTTGGAATGAAACAAATGATCAGCACCCAGCAGGAGACTACTGCCCTGGTCCCAGTAATGCAGGCCTGAGCTAGAATACCAGCCATGTGGACAGAAAGCCCATCAGCAGGTGAAACCCAGGGGACATGGAGGGTAGGGGAAGAGGAAAGAACCAGAGAGAGGGTGACACTGTGCTGTCCTGAGCACTCTCTATGCAGTTATCAAGCCATAAGTGTGGCCACATGTGCAGCTAGGCCCAGGGCCAGCAACATGCAGAGGGAGATGAGATGTAGCAAAGCTAATCAACCCATGGCATCAGATCCCCAGCTTTGGACACAACATCCACAGGGAACGGTTCCTTTCCCATACCCCCTACTCAGACAGTAAGCAGTAAGCAGAAGCCACATCATCCAAGGATACTACCAAGGAAGCTTCCTCCTGCCCGCAGGTAACGTCAGCCCTTGATCCCCCACACACAGGGGACCCGGTGGATATAATCAAAAGCACATCTTTATTACCTTGGCAATGTCGTGAAAGTCATTAGCTTTAGTGGGAGACTGCCCTGAAACAACCCCCAACGAGTTCCTATGACCCAGGAAGGGAAAACACTAGGCAGTGATAGGCAGATTCCTCAAGAAACATCTTTCCTCCTCAGTCTCTAGGAGCTGCATTTCTTCCCCAGCACTTCCCAACTTTGAGTGAGGTACTAACCCATGCCCCCTCCCAACAAGGACATATTCCATGAATTCATTTGTTTGTACCATGCCATGAAGGAGACACTTCTCCAATGCATGGCTGGGCCTTCCGCAGGAGTGAAGGCCGGGTGGCCTGTCTGCAGGGTCCCCAGGAGGCAAACAGCACGAGATCAGCCACGAGCTATTTATTCTGAAGCAAAAGAGCACTGCGGGCCTCCAGGTCTTTCTTCCCAGCTAAAGCATGAAACTAATTCTTTCTCATTGGACTTTGAAAAGATTCACTGACATAAACAAGGAAAAGAATCCATCCCTAGGCTTGCATATGACCTACCAAGTTTCTCCAGAAGCATATCTGTATGGCTACCCAGCACATCAATATGGCTATTCAGTAAACCAGGTTCCTGCATAGAGGCCCTGGAGACAGGACAGCTGCAGAGCCTGTCCCTCTGCCTGGGAATCCCATTTCATTTGGAACTTCAGTGCCAGGATGAACATATAGTCTGTTTTTTGTGCAGTCAGGTCTCCCCTGGGTTTGATGAAAATTTCTGAGTTTTCTGGGCCGTTTGTAGTACCCTGCCCTGATTACTCAGGCCCTAGAAGTGCAGAAGAAAAGGAAGATGCTAATGCACCCTAAGGAATTTTTTTTGGTGAAGACATTCCCCCTGAAACACTCTGACCCCTTGCCACACCAGGCCATGCGGAGGAACCCACAAGGAACTGCTGGCTTCTGTGCTGCTGTGTAGGAAACTGTACTGACAAGACCATGCCACAAATGCAAAATCTTCCTCCCTATAACAGAATTAACCAGTTTAGCTCATTCTGATTCCTCAAAACAGTGGCGTCAGCTCCGAGTCACCTGGCAGCTGAGGCAAAAGTGGAAATACAGTAGGTGCAGATGACCACAGATGACAACGGACCAAGCTTGTTTGGAATTTGTCATCTGCAATGATCTAAGTCTTTCTTAAGTCTGCTTTTATTTTCAATATTTATAGGTTTTTAAAAATAACAAAAGCCAAAAAGAAAGCCAAAATGGCTCATAACTCCATCACTTGTGTAACCCCTTATTCACACATTCATTCAGCATTTATTCACATAATCACACATGTTTTTGTCAAAATTTTCACACAAGGGATACTATGCCCTCTGTTCTGAACTCTCATTTTTCATTTAATAATTTCTTGGCTCTCTTTCCATACCAGCATATGGCCTGTTTATATTTTCACCTGGCATCATTTTTTAAGGCAATGATGCCCATAAATCTACTCCCTGTTGCAGGAAGGAAGACTTCGTTTTTGTTGCTTCGCTTAATCATCAATCTGTTTCCCACACAGTCCAAGAATCCCTCGCTCAGGGCTGTGCTTGAGGAAACAGTCTAAGTTCAACCTATGTTCACCTTGTCCATGACCAATAGCTTCAGAACTATTATATTATCTATCTTTATAATTCCATATTTGTTCATATCTCTCCTACTTGCTCCCGGAAAATATTTGAGGAAGCCACCTGTAAAACTTCAAGATAGGATTATTTAAGGAGAATAAAAACTTTGCCTAGGGGTAAGAGGACTTCTACAACAAAGCAAGGCTTTCAGCTCTGAGTTTCCTGGCAGCCAAGGCAAAAATGGAAATACAAACGGTCATAAGGTATTTGTTTTCTCCAAGAAGAAATATCAGAATTTCATGAAGAATATGATTTATTCTAAAATTAATCCTGAGAGGCATTTATCACATGAACCCTTCTGCATGTGACAAAAACCCTTTTCAAAGAGCAAAGCTGTGGAAGATAAAGGGATGTCATGTCTTAGATGGACCCTCAAGAGCAGGTTCTAATCCTTTTGGCCTCCCTTCCTAACACAGAAGCCCCTGCTTCCTTCAGAGTCATAGTGAAGAGTAGTTCTCTATGAACACACTTGCTTTTCTGCACAAGTCTGCCTGGATATCTGTATGCTGGCAGGAGCCAAGGTGGGGCTTAAGTGCAGCAGGGATCTGACAGAGGCTGAACCACACCTAGGGAAACACCCCACACTCCTGCCTGGCAGGCGCTATCCCAGGTACAAAGGCCTTGACATATGACATACAAACAGGCAAGGCCAAGTAGAGAAATGTGACGGATCCATGGCAAACTCTACCACTAATGGTCACTTGCCACTTTCTGATTCTCCACATGTGGTTTATACAAAATTAAATTACCTTTCTAGAGACTGCAGAAAGCAAGTAGTTAGTATAAATAACTCCAGAACAGAAGGCTTGCTAAATTATGAATTATATAGCAGCAACAACTCGAGGTTGCTTATGAAATAAGATAAGAGGGAGGCAGGAACCAGAGCTTTAAATAAAAGACTTCCCCGCTTTGGGGCAAGGCACCCCTCAAAAGATGACAGGCGAGGGTGTCAGTCTGTGTGAGAATGACGTGTCTGGTTATGAGTCGTCCCACTGTGAGAATACTCTTCCTCTAACGTGCCCATGGGGACTGGAGGGGACCTGAGCTGGGCACCTCTTCCCCACCCTCCTCCTCGCAGAATAGGCAGACATCACCCTCCCACAGGCAAATGCTGGCTCATGCCAGCTCCCAGCATCAGGGGTCGGGACTGAGGGGTTCTGGGCACAGAGGGTGGCTGAGAGTCAACTAAACCCAGATGACGGTTTCAGAGGATGGCTTCAGACTGAAGATGACAAGATACTGATCAAAATTTCATGACCACCCCACTGGCACAGTGAGCCGTGAGCAGCTTCTCCAGGCTTTGTGGGGGGTGAGGTTGGGGGGAGAGGAAGGGTCGGGGGAGGGGGCGGTGGCAGACAGAATTAGACATGGAAAGCTCCGTCTGCATCTCATCAACCTACCTGGGAATTTGGAGAAATACGCCTTCCTGTACTTGCTGCCATTCTCGTCGTTCCAGAAGTGCGTGGGCTGGCACGGAATCGGCTTTGTACACACCAGCTCACCGCTCTCCCCCCAGACGGCCTTTCCTGGTGTGAAAGGACAAAAATTAAGCCCAGGACACACTGGCCCTGCTCCCTCATGCAGTGTGTTCTCCCAAGTGGGTACTTGTGTGGTATTTCAGACACATGCAAGGTACAGAGAAATCTACACCCACAGCCCTCCAAAAGGAATCTCCTCCTATACACCCCCCTAAAATCTCTCCCTTGAATGTAGCGCCCTGTTATTCCCACACATGCATCCCTGGCAGTGTGTGTCTTTATCTGGCATATCTTTAAACTCCATAGTGGTGCCATGTTACACGTATTCAGCATCTTGCTTTGTTCCATCAAGGCATTACCTAGACAATTCATTCAGGCGGCCATGTGTCTGTCACTCTGGTCACTTTCTACAAGTGATCAGAGATCTTGTTCCTCCTGAGGATGGGCACTTATATTGTTCCCCGTCATGTTTTCTGTTACAAATTAAGGGGCCACAAACATTCTTGCCTATATGACCTTGTTCACAAGATGTGCAGGTATTTCTCCCCGGGTGGGAGTACTAGACCACAGGGCACATACATGTCTCCCAAACTGCTTCCTAGAGCAATTGAACTGAGTCCTTCAGGCCCCCACACGAGAGCAGGCAGAGGACAGGCCACAGAGGCCAGCAAGAGAGGAGTGGAGGGTGTCCTTGCCCACGACTAGGCTCTTAGCAGTGGTGAGCTGACCATTGTGCATTTGTCTAGCACCAAGGTCAAGAACCACCTGCCTGTCCACCATTCCTGGACACACAGCTCTCCAACTGTGCTCCTGCCCAAGACCGTCTTCTCAGGGGCTAAGGACAGGCAGCCCCTAGAGGGTGAAACCAGGCTGAGGGGAAAGGATATCACACTGTAAGTGACAGGAGCTACCCCCTCTGACAGGGCTGCTTTAAAGGACTATCCCCAAGCAATGTCACATATCCCAGCACTTCCCAGCTGCTCCTCACACCCAGTCACAGAAAAGAAAGGTCAGCAAAGCCATCACCTTCCTCACTCCATGCCTCCACAGCCATGCCCAGGTTCCGGGCCTGAATCTCCCCTTTGTACACAGGGACACAAGGATTCTGGCCCATGAAGCAGGAGATGATGTCGGTGCCACCTGTGAGCAAGGGCAAAAGAAGAGTCAAAATTCAGAAGACCAAGACAAATTGCTGATTTCTTTTTTTTATTAGTGAACAACAAAGGAAAAAGAGCCCAAAAGAACAAATACCTGCTACTCTCCCCAGATAAATACTAGGGGGAAAAAAGTCAGATTTTTTTTAAGGGAGAAATGGAAGAGATGACTTAGAAATCAGCATGACACCCCCCGCGACCCCCCCCCCCGCCGTGTCTGGTGATTTATGTTTTGACTGAGTTTTCTGCTAGAGGATGCTCTAAATAAATGACTTCCTGTGGTCATGCTGAAATTCAAGACTCAGGGTCACAGCACATGGGAGCTTTGCCCTGCAGGCACTGCCATAGCAGAGGGTCCTATGGGAGGATGGGTTCCCTGTGGTTTATATTTGCTTAATGGTCAGAGAAACAGAAACCTCCCAGCTGAGGACACCGTGGAACATGACATCTCACGCCAAAGACTGCAGTAGGTGGAAAACAGTGCTGCTTCTGGAGGGAGCTCAGAATGGAGCCAGACTCCGTGGGGGTCCCTCGTGAGGCCGCAACCCCAGACACACAGCTGCTGACAAGCGAGCGCTGACCCAGCACCTGTGCATGGAGGGACTAGTGGTGCTACTCAGCCAGGTGCACCTGCAGGGAGGGCACCGACTCACCGCACTGGTGCGTGGCAAGGTTAGCAAGGCACACCAGGCACTGGGACACTCCACTCACAGAAGCCAGTTGTGCTCAGTGGAAAGAAGTAAGGAGTGTGCTCAGGGAAGTAGCAGAGACACCTTTCCCTAACTTAGTGCCTGGTGTCCGTGCTGCTCTTTGTGCCCATTGTATACCCGGAAAAAAAAACAAAACCACATTTCATATTGGCCAGGCACAAAGGATCATGCCTGTAATCCCAGCACTCTGGGAGGCAAAGGCTGGAGAGTTACTAGAGCTCAGGAGTTCAAGATCAGCCTGAGCAAGAGTGAGACCCCATCTCTACTAAAAATTAGCCAGGCATTATGGTGGGTACCTGTAATCCCAGCTACTTGGAAGGCTGAGGCAGGAGGATTACTTGAGCCTGGGAGTTTGAGGTTGCTGTGAGCTAGGCTGATGCCATGGCACTCTAGCCTAGGTGACAGAGTGAGACTCTGTCTAAAAAAAAAAACCCCACACATTTATAACTATTAATAAAACAAGTTCCTTCCCTAATCAGGCTCTGTATGTATGAATGGTGGGGGGAAGGTGTTAAGATGCGCATAAAATGACTCAAGCTCCAAAAACCAGGAAGGCTTTTCTGGCCTCCACTCTATAATAATTTTGTTTCTTCTATCAGGCAAAGAATCAATATGTGATGTCTTTCCTGTCTCCTCTGGCACCTCATGTCACTGACTGATGTATCCCATGAAAATGAATGAATCAAGTTTGTTTCTACCACCATCAAGGTCTGACTGGCCTCCCAGGCCCCATAAGAGGCATAAGCACTCTGCTCCCGCCAAGACTTCAGGGATGCTGAGCGGATGGGGCTCTTGCTGGTCCTGTTCAGGGTCAGGACTGGGATGAACAGGATAGCAGCAAGAAGACAGACCGGCTCGGCGCCTATAGCTCAACCGGCTAAGGCGCCAGCCACGTACACCTAAGGTGGCGGGTTCGAATCCCCAGCCCGGACCCGCCAAACAACAATGACGGCAGCAACCAAAAAATAGCCAGGCGTTGTGGCGGGCGCCTGTGGTCCCAGCTACTTGGGAGGCGGAGGGGGGAGACTCTCTTGAGCCCAGGAGTTGGAGGTTGCTGTGAGCTGTAATGCCACGGCACTCTAACCAGGGGGACAGCTTGAGGCTCTGTCTCAAAAAAATAAAAAAAAATAAAAAAAATAAAAAAAAAGAAGACAGACCAAGATCCTAACAGATATGGCTGCCCAGAGATGGGCTGGGCCAAAGCCAACCCCTCCCTGCCAGCCAAGCACCCCCAGAAGTCTCCAGAGGCCACACTGTCCTTTGCCATAGCCCAGCCCTCTTGTGTAAAATAAAGAAAGTAGGATCTACCAGGATGGGCTTTGGGGGGATTTAAGATCCTAATCAATTGAGGGGTGTGTGTGTGTGTGTGTCCCAACAGCAATGATTCAGTATCTGCTAACTACATGGTCACTGAGACTTTACAGGACATTACTACCTCGAGTAATGAGAATTGCTTGTGCATAGGGACATGACTTGCTGACTGCCCTTGGGACATGTGCAAACACACCGACTTGCTGGGTCAGAGGGTACACACACTTACAGGGGCCCCGCCTGGTTTCAGAGGGAGGGAGGGCTAGGGGGGACTGTCCTCTTCACTCCAGGACACAGAGCAAGAGCCACACCTGAGATGGAGCCCAGGAGGACACTGCTCTTTATGCATCTGTAGACGTATTCGTAGCTCTGGGCTTTCAGCGGAGATCCAGTAGACAGGATCATGCGCAGCGTCTGTAGACTGTGGGTTTCCACTAGGGTGAAGAATTGCCAAAAGGTTAGAACTAAATCCAAAGCCATACGGTCATTTGCAAGCAAGAAATAGTCATACAGGGTGGCACCTATAGCTCAGTAGGTAGGGCGCTGGCCACATGCACCAAAGCTGGTGGGTTCGAACCCGGCCGAGGCCAGCTAAAATAATGACAACTGTAACAAAAAATAGCAGGGCATTGTAGCGGGTGCTTGTAGTCCCAGCTACTTGGGAGGCCCGAGGCAAGAGAATTGCTTAAGCCCAAGAATGTGAGGTTGCTGTGAGCTGTGATGCCATGGCACTCTACTGAGGGCGACATAGTGAGACTCAGTCTCAAAAAAAAAAAAAAGAAAAGAAAAGAAATAGTCATACAGTGGATTTAATTTGCAGGGAACGTGTACCTGAAGCAGCACACTCACCTGGCTTCATGTCTTTCTCTTCGAGCACGGACAGCCACTTGGCCCCTGTTCCGAGGATGGTGATGCTAAGTGCGGATAGGAAAGAAAACACCAGAGACCTTCAAGGTTCTTGCATATTCCACACAGCAGAGCTTTCTGAAATTGGTGATTTATTTCAGATAAATTTGCAAAATCCAAGATTTACAGCATTTTTCTGGATTGAACCAATAATATTTATCTGAGAGTGAATCACAGCACCTGAGTGTACCTCAAAGGCACAACCTAACAAGCATTTCACCCCGATTCCAACATGCAGAGCACCCTTGGCTTTATTTAAAACCATCATCCACTTGTGAACCCATTCTCTTCCCAGCTGCAGAGTATTCTTGGGGGGGGGGTCAAAGGAGGCCATAAAAATCAAGACACTCTCAAATTCTAACCTCATACATTCATTTTCCAACACGGATGAGAGGGCTACAGAATTCTCAATTCGTTAAAACCAGGTGCCATACTTCAAATTCTCCACCAATCCCCTTTCCTTAAGTGAGTTCATATTTTTATGCAACTTAGAAAATCGCAGCTCTTCTTTTCTCGAACATTCAGAATCTGCAGTCCTTTATCCCCGTGTTTGCACTCAGAGAGCAACACATTATGCAGAGGATAAATCACCGTGTTCTCAAGGGGAGCGTTATCTAATATGCTTTCCTTTCCCCAGATTTCTTCTAGCCAGGCAGCCCTTAACATGAAACCTCCATCTTCCCAGCTAAAGAATGTTTTCTCTCGGATACACAGCAGGCCACAAAATCAAGATTCTTCTGTGTCACCCTGCACACTCAAGTGCAGAGATTCATTATGGGAGGTGAGCCTGCCATGCCGTGTGCTGTCTGACCTAGGAGGCAAAGTCACACACAACATTCAGGGGTTCAGGGCCGGCTGAGCATGGCTAAGCCAACAGCAGGGTGGGTTTCCCTCAGAGCGAGGAGGTGGGTTACCATGGTCCTTCTACCTCCTGTGCCTTCATTCTTACTTCATCAGAACCACCTGCCACCACTAATCCCATGGGCACCTCTTGGGTCACTGTACCCTAGAGATGGCTGGGGGGTTTAAAGGAGGTAGGGCATGGGGAGCAGGCACCTCCCACCACACCACCAGGCTTATAAACTCAGAGTCTTAGTAACTACTTCAACATCATCTCTGGGGATGAAGGTGTCACCAGGACCAGAGACCTCGTGACTCTGATGGTGACCACCCACCTGGGACAGCACTGACCGCCTCCAGCTATGGGGTCAGACCTATCCAACCACCAGCCACCCCCAAACAACAGGCAGGCTTTATTAGGCTCATCTCCACCCACCTGCTAAAACACTCAAAGGCTCCCTGTGGCTCCAGAGAGCGTGTAAGCACAGGTGAGACTGCAAACCCTGATCATGGTGAGGTGTCGCCAGAACTCGGTGGTGGTGTCCCCAGGCTGGTGAGTCACAGCCCTGCTTGACTGAAGAAACAACAGAATCCCCCAGCCATCTCCAGGGCTTGCATAAGATGATTTAAAAATGTGACATCTTAGCTCATGTAAGATGTAAGCATGGGACCCAAATGGGTGCTCCGTGCTGTGTCTTTTTTTAGCAAGTACCATGGGGAGTCACTGCGTTGAACATGAGACAGGGTCACAACCTTGAACTGTTGGGACCCTGTGTCCTGGCAGGTACCTGGAGCCCTGCAAGGAGCCAGAAGTGGACTAGCCCCACAGATGGTGCCTCCAGGGCACCCACGCACCTGTGGGTGATGGCCGCCTGAGGCTTCCCCTGCTCTTGTCCCACAATTTGCTGTCCATGTGGGCACCACACTGACCTTTCCAGCATGAGCTGGAGCATGTCCCTGCCCCAGTTCAGACTGTTTGATAGTGTCTGCTTCACTGGGGGGAACTCCACCCTCCAGCAGGCCCAGAGTTCCTTGCCCCTGTGACTCCTGCTCCAGTAGCACACGGATGTCTCACACTCAGTACCAGAAGCCTGGCTGGGAGATGTGAAGGATAAAGACTCCAAGCCACCCGAGTTGCCAGGAAACACTCTTGTTAGGAAATAACCTTCCTCACCAACATGCTGAGCTAAATGTCAGGTTTTAAATATTCAGGCCACACAAACACGTATATAAAACATTAATGGCCAAGGATTTAAACCATTCACGTCTCCTCCTGTCACTACCACAAATGGATTCAAACATGGAGGAACCAGGGCATCTCAGAGCATGGTCACTTCCTGGTAATGCTGTCATTAACTTGATGGGGACCAAAATCATGGTGACCAGGAAGTGCCAACAGTCAAGATTAATCTATCAGCAAAGTGCTGATGGAACAGTGTCTTCTAATGGTTTCTCACAATAACAATGAGGGGGCCAGGCATGGTGGCTCAGGCCTATAGTCCTAGCACTCTGGGAGGCCAAAGTGAATGGATAGCATGAGCTCACGAGTTCGAGACTAGCCAGAGCAAAAGCAAGACCTCGTCTCTACAAAAACTAGATAAACTGAGGCAAGAAGATCACTTGAGCCCAAGATTTGGAGGTTGCTGTGAGCGATGATGCCATGGCACTCTACCAAAGGCAACAGCTTGAGACTGTCTCAAAAAAAAAAAAAAAAAAAAAAAAGACAATGAGAGGAATGAGGGGCCTCTGGACCATTCCCTGTTTTCACAGCTCTCAGGGAGTGGGAGGGGTACCCACCCCCAAACCACCCACCCAGGAAAGAAGCATCAACAGAACACAGGGAGGCAGCAACACCCTTCGGAGGCCAGGGGAAGAGTCTTGGGGTACCCTGATGATGAACTGAGGACACAGGTGACCACCAGCCTCAAGGACAAGCAAGGCTATATGTATCCCCACTGTACGTTCAGCCTTTATACACTTGATTCTCCAGTTCAATGAACCCTGGGTCAAACAGTCCTTATGCTGACCCTTATTCCTTCTCTGTTTTATGTTTTTGTTTGTTTTTTGGAGACAGGGTCGTGCTCTGTCAGCCAGGCAGGAATGCAATGGTGTGATCACAGCTCACTGCAGCCTTGATCTCCTGGATTCAAGTGACCCTCCTGCCTCAGCCTCCTGAATAGCTGAGACTACGGGTATCTCATACAGCAAAACACGGCATGACCTTAAATATATAAAATTATTACTAACAAATGATTTTAAAAATAAGTAAAATTTTTTAAATAAAAATACATTTTTAAAAGTAAAGAAATGAGATCATATCCCTTCTTCTGATGCCCTGTGATCTTTCAGAGTTTATTTGCTGACCCCGGGGCCAGCTCCTCAGTCTGCAAGGAAGAATCCTGGCTCCTCCTTGAGAACCTCGCCTCTGCTTCTGGCATCCCCCAGGTCCGCCCTTTGAGGGGACATCCAGAACAGTGAAACATCCCAAAGGTGGCATGGTGACAGTGACAGAAGGCTGTGGTGGCTCTGCATCTGATCCTGATGCCAGCCTGGCCCCGTCCTTTGTCCTGAGCATGGTGGCATCATGGTACTTACCCTATCCTGTCAACCAGGTCCCAGAGCACATTGGGCGTCGGGACCAGTGGGGAGCCGTCATACAGGACGAGGGACGCACCCGTAGCAAGCACAGACACCGTCCAGTTCCACATCATCCAGCCGACCTGCAACAGAGAGAAGGAGCACAGTGTAAGCGGGGCTCAGGGCCAGCTCCCCTTGATTCCGATGCTCAGCCTCTTGTGTCCCTAAAAAAAAAAAAACACCACCTAAAATTCAGCTACAGTTTGGTGCTAACTGCCCAGTTCAAGTGCACAACACTTTAGCCCAGCAATTCCATGGCAAGAATTGATCATACAGACGTATTCACCCATATGCTTGAAGACATGTCAAAGAATGTCAGCTGCAGCCCTGTCGGGATAACAAGAGGCCAAAACGCCTGTTCACGCCAGAATGGACACAAGTGGCATGCACACAGTACTGAACACTGCACAGTTCATTACTGAGCCCACATGAAACACTGCGGACAGCATGTGGTACCTAGCAACAGTCAGAAATCCGGCATCGTGCAGCCATTAAGAAGAAAGCGGTCTGGGCTGATCCAAGTGGTCTCCCAGACACCTTCTTAAGTGCGAAACAAGTGTGAAACAAGGACAGCAGAGCATGTGCAGCGTGACCCTGTTAGTCTGAAGGAAAGGATGCACACACACCACGCGCACACACAGAAAGACCTAGCAGGGCACTGGTTGGTGCCATCAGAAGACGTGGGTAACACTGACAGATGTGGGTGCCTCTGCCCTGCAGACACCAACCTTTCACCACATATTCTATTGCTCCTGCTTCAAATGTTTACCATATGCAAATGAATTTAAATTGATTTAAATTTTACTTGAAAATGTTTAATTAATTTTTTTTTTTTGCAATTTTTGGCCAAGGCTGGGTTTGAACCTGCCACCTCTGGCATATGGGGCCAGTGCCCTACTCCTTTGAGCCACAGGCATCACCTAATTAATATAATTTTTTTTTAAAGCCAAGAAGGTGCAGACACATTCCAGCAAGATTCTTGACCCTAGAGGATAAAAAGGGGACCCTGACCCCACCACATGAGCAAGAAGGACCCAAGAGCATTGAGGCATCCAGGGCCTCACCCCATACCCCGAGATCAGAATCTCAGAAGATGGGGCCGGGCAGCCATGTGAGGAAGCACCCCACCTGGGTCTCATACAACCCTGGATCACAGGTCACAGACAGTAAAATCTAACAGGCAGCCAGAACAGAGTGCCAAGCAAGCAGGTGACCTATGCATAAGTGATGTGGTTTGGTCAGGAATCCACCCTTCCTTGCCATCCTCACCTAAGGGCTATCCCCAACCTGAATGGACTATGATGATCAAAATCCGATATTCCCCAAGATTCCCCTGCACCTGCTTCCCCATCAGCACTGTACACAAACACAGAGGGAACAGCAAGCGCAGGCAAAAGTGAAAATGTAGTTGAACTGCCTTTTTTTTTTTTTTTTTTTTACAGTTTTCGGACAGGGCTAGGTTTGAACCCAGCGCCTCTGGCATATGGGGTCAGCGCCCTACTCCTTTAAGCCACAGTTGCCGCCCTAGAACTGCTTTTTTAACAGGTTTTTTTTTTGTTTGTTTGTTTTTTGTTTTTGAGACAGCCTCAAGCTGTCCCCCTGGGTAGAGTGCAGTGGCATCACAGCTCACAGCAACCTCCAACTCCTGGTCTCAAGCAATTCTCCTGCCTCCGCCTCCCAAGTAGCTGGGACTACAGGCACCCACCACAATGCCCAGCTATGTTTTGGTTGCAGCCGGCATTGTTGTTTGACAGGCCTGGGCTGGATTCGAACCCACCAGCTCAGGTGTATGTGGCTGGCACCTTAGCCGCTTGAGCTATAGGCGCCAAGCCTTTTAACAGATTTTAATGTGCTTGTTAAATTTATTTTATTAAGGAACTATTCCATGGTAAAGAAACCAATGTCTAGGAGGCCCAAACAACACAGACTTCCTGGCCACCTCGATGTCTGACACAGCTGTTCAAGGTCAGGTCAGTCAGGGACATAGTACTGGCCTGGCCCAGGTCTAGGGGACACTTGAAACAACTGCCACTACTTGCTCCATAGAAAAATCTGCCCACCAATCCTCTGTGGGCAGGACGCTTCCAGTAAAACTGAAATGCCTTGAAGAAAATCGCTCCAAATGTTTGAGTGCTTCCCATTCTGTGTTTCCTCTCATTACAAACCCCTGCCATTTCAAACTGCTGTGCCCTAGGGAGGTTGCTGAGTCCTGCACCACTAGAGCTGCAGGGGGCTTGCTGCAATTCAATCACCACACCGTGCTGATGCTGCCCCACTGGGCTCCCAGCCTCAGGGCCCCACTGGTGGTGGCAGGACAGGTATTGTTAGGAAAAGGGTGGTGCAAGCAAAAGTAACCTAAATCATTTGCCCATGCCTCATAACCCCCAGCAGGGCACAGAAAGCATAAAATTACCAGCCATAGTCACACACTAAGAGCCACCCAGGGTCCCCTCCTGTGGCTGTGTGTGGAGGTTGAGCGGGGGACCCTTGGGCATCAACCTCATGGGTGGAGAATGTCTCCAGCATTCTGCTTCCTTTAAAGCTCAGCACAAAAGGGTGATCTAGCTAGATTGTTCCAGAACCTCTTGATATTCGCAATCTTGGAAAAAGCTGATTTTGAATTCTCCTTTAAGGTGAAACACACTTCCTTTAACTTGTCCTAAATGTTCACCTTTCAGCATTTGACAAGGACAGGAGTCCCTCCAGCACTTGAATACAAGCCCAGGTTTAATGACGTGCTGTGTTGGTGCGGGGCAGCAGGGAACAAGCCCATCTCCATTCTGGCCCTGCAGCCTGGGTGATGCCCAGCAGGGGACCCGTCCAGCTCGTGCACCCTCAGGAAGCCCTTACCGTGGTGTAGCACAGGAGCACATCGCTGCTAGACATGTCGCCGTGAAGCAGGTGTTCCTTCAGATGCTGGATGAGGGTGCCCTGGGGAGGGGAGACACACGGGTGAAGCAGGCTGCTCTCTATAAAGTGCAGGGACAAAGGCACAGGCACACATGGACACTCTTGGGAAGAAGCCCAAGAAAATCTCTTTTCTCTCCTGAAGGAAGCAGACTTTGGAGTCCGCTGCCCCACCTTGGTGAGTGATGCCCCCCGCCACTCTGCTGCCTGACACCCAAGTGCAGCTCACGACCCAGAGAAAAACCCTGGCTCGCTCCTGCCTGCCACAAGCTCTCAATGCCCAAGCCAATCCAGGCAGAAGAGAAGTGACCCTTACTGAGAGCAAAAGAAGGGGGCTTGGGGCAAACAACACACCCATCTGCAGGCCTCAGGACAGAGCTTGGACCGCAGGGACGCCTCAACCCAAGGGCAGCACCCATCCCCACTCCAAGCTAAGAAGCCTAATCAAAATGCCTACCCCTGAGCCCGCCCCTACACTTTCTATAACTTTCTATTTTTACTGTTTAATGAGGAATATATTGGCATGGTCCAAACCTCTAAGCAGGGGTATCCATCCTGTGGCTTGAGGACCACATGCTAATCATGTGAGGATTTTTTTTGTTGTTTATCTGTGGCATCAGATATCATGAAAAATATGTATGGAGTTTTCTGGTTTTGTTTGTTTGTTTGTTTTTTAGACAGTCTCACTTGGTCACCCTTGGTAGAGTGCTATGGCATCTTAGCTCACAGCAACCTCAAACTCTTGAGTTTAAGTGATCCTCTTGCCTCAGCTTCCCAAGTAGCTGAGACTACAGGTACTCACCACAACCCCTGGCTATTTTTTAAAGAGGGGTCTCACTCTGGCTCAAGCTGTGAGCTCAGGCAATCTACCCACCTCGGCCTCCCAAGTGCTGGGATTACAGGTGTGAGCCACCACTCCAGGCAAGTTTTCCTGTCTTTACAATGGATCTCACACAAGATCCTGAGGACAGGCAGGGATTAGGTCAGCGACTAAAGTCCCCAGGGGGGCAGCTGCTACCTCCTGCACTAGGGGAGACAATCCTTTCCTCTGCCTACATCCCCCCCTCCCCCGCCGTTCTGTGAGGGTCAGGGGCATCCTCCTCCACCCTGGGCACTCACAGGCTTCCAGAGGCTGTCCCCTGGCATGCTGTTTTCACGAGAGTGAGTGGGGAACAATCTGGGGATGACCATGTTTCAGGAATTCTTTCTGAAACCAAATCTTTACACAATGAATCCATTTAAAGGGCAAAGCAGTCTCTGACTACGTGAACCTGTGGCAAATCCCCCCTCCCATTTTCTTTTTACTTAAAATCAGCATTTAATCTAAACGTGTGCCTTCACCTACACGGTCTGCTGGAAGCAGGCAGATCTGTAAGCCCACATTTGCACATTTGCTCCTTACCCTCATTTTCTCAGATGGCACAAAACAAACGAGGCTTAGCTTCGCTCTCAAGAATTTCTCCGCATGAATCTTAACAATTCACATCAATAGTCTTCCCCTTAATTCTTACATATTTATGGCCAAGTCTGAATGCTTTCCCTCAGGGTAAGGAATCTTAAATGACATGGTTTCCTGGGTCTCAAGCAAGAAAGTAATTTAATTTAAAAGAAGGGACAGGGAAGCTGTTTTCTGAGACCTTTCATGGATTTAGAAAACACAAACCAACAACCCAGTAACACTACCCTCCACCCCAATAAACCCAGGGAACCATAAGCGACCCGATGGTGGCCTAATTCACTTTGCTGTTTTTAAGTTTGTTGTCAAGATAACTCTTGAAAATGAGCAAGATGCTTAGTCACTTCTCTGGAGAAGCAAGAACCCAGTTAAGATAGAATAAATATAATTTTTCCTGATTTTCCCACACTCCAAATATACCAGGCACGATCATTTTATGAGCAAACTACATTATATCTAATACATTTTTATGTTCCTCTCCTTAAAAAAATGACATTCACTATGCAAAAAGCACTAAAAATAAAAGTACAGTTATACATTTCAATTTTCCCTAAGATGTCTTGTTTGGCCACATACACCCTGTCCTTGTCTGCAAAGCTTCTAAAAATGCTCATCTCTGGGGCTCATGAACAGGCCTGTGGCCAGGTGACCAGGGCCACCCCTCCACAGGGACAAACAAATTCTAAGCACACCTTAGATGTTGAACATGCCCCAACCTTGATTTTATAAAATAGGATGGTATGAACAACAAAGACCACTCACTGCCTACAAAAAGACAACAAAGGCCAGGCATGGTGGCTCTCGTCAGTAATCCCAGCACTTTAGGAGGCTGAGGAGGGTGGATCATCTGAGCTCAGGAGTTCAAGACCAGCCTGAGCAAGACCCTATCTCTAATAAAAGAAAACACAGCCAGGCATTGTGGCAGGCACCTATAGTCCCAACTACTTGGAATGCTGGGGCAGGAGAATCTCTTAAGCCAAGGAGTATAAGGTTGCTGTGAGCTATGATGATGCCACCGCATTATAGCTGGAGTGACCAAAAAAAAGACCCTGTCTCAAAAATAAAAATACAAAGGCAACTTAGTCCAGCCAGTGTCACTTCTAGAAATAAAGCCTCTGCCACTCCACCTCCCTTTGTCTCTCCCTCCCTCCCCTGTGGGGGTTCTTAAGGAACCCCCACCCCAATGCCTGGGATTAACATGCTCTGTGCCTGCAGTTCTGTTTCCCAGCCTGCAACTGGACCTTCAGTGTATCCAAAGCCAGGTAATAACGGGGCCATGTTAACACCTTTCCACATTCTGATGAGAACACTCCATACAAAGTACTATAGGGCTTTAAAATGATTCCACTGTAAATGTTTCCTTTTTGTGGAAGGGATTCAAACTGTTTCTAGGTATAGAGAACCATCTGTAAAAGCTAAATGAGCTAGAATGAGAGAAATGGGATATTCCATTTCCAAATACCACCATCTTATCAAGGAAAACATAGCGAACTGTTTGTGAACATGAGTTTTCTCCACTTGGATAATTCTCTTCTTCTGAGTTAGGGGCAAAAAGGTAGCGATTACAAGTTTGGACCAAAATAACTGCAGGTTTTTCTCCTCCCTACAGGCTAAGCCAATGTGAGAAAAACTAGGAAATTAGATACAGAGAGAGCTGAAGAGCAGGAAAGCCCCAAGCAATGTGAGGAGAGCCTGGGGGGAGCCAGGATTCTCGATCTCCTGAATAGTCTGAGTCCGAGGTAAGGATTTAACCTGAGTCGGAAAGAGGCTTTCTCATCAACTTCAGGAGCAGAGGAGGATTAGAGAAAATAAGACCCGACAGCAGTTATTAAAGTACCAAATTCACCCAGAAATTTTATTTCTGAAGAGTGACCTAGTGGAACCACAAGAATGGAATCAACTGACACTGTGTGCCCTCTGCTGTGATGTGCTGAGAAGGACACAATATCTCTTCCATGGTGTTCCTGCCCAAACTGCACATGGTCCTAACCATGAAGAAACATTGGACCAACCCAACAAGAGCCATTCTGCAAAGACACGAACCTGGACCCTTCAAAAACATCAATGTCATGAAAGACAGGGCAGCACCTGTGGCTCAAAGGAGTAGGGCGCCAGCCCCATATGCCAGAGGTGGCAGGATCAAACCCAGCCCTGGCCAAAAACTGCAAAAAAAAAAAAAAAGAAAGACAAAAAGAAAGGCCAAGGAATTGCTCCAGATCAGAAGAGATTAAAGAAGTCAGGTGTGGGGGAGGGTTCACACCTGTAATCCCAGCACCTTGGGAGGCCAGAGGAGAACTGCCTGAATAAGAGTGAGACCCTGCCTCTACAAAAAATAGAAAAATCAGCTGGGAACAGTGGTGTGCACCTGTAATCAGCTATTTTGGAGACTGAGGCAGGAGGATCACTTGAACTCAGGAGTTTGAGGTTGCAGTGAGCTCTGATGATGCCACTGCACCCCAGCCTGCATGACAGAGTGAGACTTTGTCTCAAACAAAAAAAAAAAAAAGAGAGAGAGAGAGAGAGAGAAAGATTAAAAATAACTGATGCAATGTAGCCTGAACCGCTAGGACATTGTCAGAAGACAAGCAACACTGGAATATGAGTGTACATTAGACAACAGTGTTGCATCCACGTCAACTTTCCGGAACTTGATGAGTGTACTACACTTTTATAAGGGAATGTTCTGGGAGATGTGAGCTGAAATATTCAGGGGTAGAAGATCATTGTAGCTGCAACTCACTCTCACTTGGTTTAGCAAAAAGCAAAACAATGTGAGAGAGAAAGCAAAATGTTAAGAACAGATGTTGCAGATGTTAGAAAGAGCACATTAGCAATGGATGAATCTAGCTGGTGAGTGCTGTGGAGCTGGCCGTACTATTCTTAAAAGTTTTCTACGGTTCTATAGGTACTTTATTTTTTCAGAAATAAAAAGTTAAAAAAAATTACTGTTCTATACATATAAAATCTGCTTAGTAGTTATGTATCATTTCAGGTACTTTAATAAAGTTAGACCTTGGATGAAATAAGGAAAATGAAAGGCAAGCATTATGGGCTCGATTATGTCCTCCCCCCCAAATTCATGTGTTGAAACTCTAATCCCCAGAATCTCAGAATGTGGTCATATTTGAATATAGGACCTTCACAAATGTGATTAAGATAAAATGAAGCCATTAGGAAAGTCCTTGATCCAATCTGACTGGTGTTCTTATAAAAGGAGGAAATCTGGACATACACAGAGACACCAGGGGTGCCCCATGAAAGATCAAGGGAGGACACAGTATGCAGGCAGCCATCTACCAGTCTAGGAGAGAGGCCTCAGAAGAAACCACCCTGCCCACACCTTGATATTGACCCTCCAGCCTCCAGAACTGAAAAAAGAAACTGCTGTTGTTTAAACCAGGCATTCTGTGGTATTCTGCCACGGCAGCAGCCCAGGGAGCCTGACCAGCACCATAACCTCCTTCTCATGAGGTCACACGTGAGCTCACGATGCCCCAGCACATCTGCACCCGCACCACGGAGCAACTGCTTCAGGGAACGACACTCGCACCTCTCATGTCCCCACGCACCGATACTTTCTACTCTCCACTCTTCTGATTCATTCTTTTTTTTTTTTTTAACATATACATGTGTTTATTAGGTTTCCACTTTTTGCCTTCGCAAAATTAAAAAGGCTTAAAACTTAATAACAATAACAATGTTTAAGATAAGGACTAGAAACAAAAAGCTTGTAAAGAACGAATGAAGATAAATACATTCAGAAAAGAAATCAGATGATTGCTACATCAAAATATTAAGCAATAAGAATGACAATGCAACGAAAATAACATTCACACTGTCAAATCAGAGTATGTCTATTATAGAATGCTTTGACTCTGAAGTCCAGGATGATGACTCCATACTGATTCATTCTTTTTATTTTTTCTTTGCGGTTTTTGGTCTCATTTTGTTATTATTTCTATAATTCATTCTTTTTAAAACACATGTGGGGCCCACAGGCTGAGTTCAGAATCCCCTAAGGGTCATGACCTGCAGGGGGTAAGTCGCTGGCTCAGCTGGTGCACATCCTGACCTGGTGACACAGTCACAGTGTGCTATGCAGGTGGCCTCTACACCTGTCAAGTCCCCAGAACAGCAGCTCTCTATCCACCTGGACCCCACTCTAGAGCTCCACGCACCCACTCAGAGAGAAGGAACCTCAGGTGACATGGATGCCACCACCACTAACAACTGGGAGAGGACAGTGATGGGAGACCCGGCAGACCTACCCCGGCAGAGTGCACCATGCACTTGGGCGCGCCTGTGGTGCCGGACGAGAACATGATGAAGAGTGGGTGACTGAAGGACAGCTGCTCGAACTCCAGCTGTGGAGCTTGGTCACCAGAGCCACCAGCAAGAAAGTCATCCAGAAACATGCTGTGGGCAAAAACACGAGGGAAACAAGAAGTGAACATTCTGGAATGCTGCACTAGATGTGCATGTGTCCTCCCTCCAACTTCTACCAAGTGAAAGCCTGGATTTCTGGGGGACACTGGCATGCTCTGGAAGATTCCTAGAACAAAGGGAGGAAGTCAAATCTCAGGAACTCAAGCTAATGGAAGGAAAACTCACTGAGTGAAGACTCCAAGTGCTTTATCTGGCACAAACACTGCAGAAGGCGGCTTTGGAAATAGTGTTTGAGTCCTCTGAGCCCAGGTCCTTTGTTCCCCATTCATCACCTGATTAGCAAACCCCTTGTTTCCAGTGATTACCCAAAGGGAAGTACTAGCCAAGTGGGTCTGAATTAGGATGCTTCCCTCCTAGGCGCAGGGAGGGGGCAGGTGCTGGATTAATGAGCCATTCCCGCACATGTGGGCCAATGTCCCCAAACCATCAGTCAATCATGGAGACCTGCTAGGTAAATATCGTGTGTTACCATCAATTCACTATATCCTGAGGTTCACAATAACAAGACACAAATATTTGCCCAAGCTAAAATTAATCTCAGCTATTGGCTGTCACCTAAGAAATCTGCCCAGCCTCACCCCAAAACATAAAGCACCCATCTAGGGGCCAATGACCAAAGGGCCCATGTAAACAGGAGATTTGTCTTCTGAGTTAAAAACAGCAGCAGAAGCCAAAAGCCATCTTAGGAAGGGCGGTTTTTCTATTTTGAGATCAGCAGACACACCAATCCCCAAACACTGGCCCTATACCGATTTTTGACAAATGGAACTTTCTTTCAAGGAAGAAGGGGGGGATTAAAGTCAGCCTGTAGCAATTGGCTGAAGATAATTGCCCTGAAATACAAATGCACACATACTACAATGAAGAATTTCGCAGTCTTGCATGGAAAGGCCTTAAAGATGAGGGATTTTCCTGAGGGAGACACTGTGGAGTAAACAGGGGCATCCAAAACAATCCAACCCTGAGTGATAAACAAACAAAGGCGTCTGCTCCAGCGTGTCAGGAAAATTGCTCACTGGGGAACTTCACAGCCAATGAAAGCCCCACTCACCCCCACCTCCAACATGAATCCCACATATGGGAAGTGCCCGAACTAATCGGATACTTCACACAGAGAAAAATCTTTTCTTTCAAATGGTCTATCAATCACAGTAAATAACTGTTCTGGTATTGCTCTTCTAAAAATGTAAAGCCCAAAGAGTGGCTCTCGCCCTCCAGCTCCCTGCAGACAGACAGGCACAAACTCAGTTTTGGTTTATCCGTGGCATCCGGCAATCAAAAGAGGAACAGCGGCCAGCTGTGGAGGCTCACGCCTGTAATCCTAGCACTCTAGGAGGCCCAGGTGGGTGGACTGCCTGAGCTCAGGAGTTTGAGATGAGCCTCACTAAAGCAAGAACTCATCTCTACTAAAAGTAAAAAAACTAGCCAGGTGTTGTGGCAGGCGCCTGTGGTTCCAACTACTCCGGAGCCTGAGGCAAGAGGAGTGCTTAAACCCAAAGGTTTGAGGTTGCTGTGAACTATGATGATGCTATGGCACTCTACCTAGGGAGGCAGAGTGAGACTCTGTTCAAAAAAAAAAAAAAAAAAGGGGCCACACACAGTGGCTCAGGTGGCTCTGGGAGGCCAAGGTGTGTGGGTGGCCAAGGTGTTGAGCTAACAAGTTCAAGACCATCCTGAGCAAGAGCAAGGATGGTCTCATCTCTAAAATGTAGCTAGACATTGTGGCAGATGCCTATGATCCCAGCTACTTGAGAGACTGAGGCAAGATGATTGCTTGAGATGATTGTTTGAGCTCAGGAGTTAGTTTGTGGTTGCTGTAAGCCATGAAGCCACCGCACTCTACTGGGGGTAAGAAAGTGAAACTCTGTCTCAAAAAAAAAAAAGACTCTGTGCCTATGACTCAAGCAGCTAAGGCATCAGCCACATACACCTGAGCTGGCGGTCGAATCCAGCCCAGCCCACCAAACAACAATGACAGCTGCAACCAAAAAATAGCTGGGCGTTGTGGCGGGTGCCTACTTGGGAGGAGGAGGCAGGAGAATCGCTTGAGCCCAGGAGTTGGAGGTTGCTGTGAGCTGTGATGCCACAGCACTCTACCCAGGGCGACAGCTTGAGGCTCTGTCTCAAAAAAAAAAAAAAAAAAGAACAGCAGTGGCAGCCTGCTTCCTAGGACTTACTGAGGGAGCTCTTGCATGATCTAAGGCTAAGTGAAGTAGCTAATGTTATTCCACTGGATCAATTCAGAGAAACAAAAGCCAGGCTGCCATGGACTCGGCAGACCTCGTTTTACTTCCTTCTGCAGTTATGGGCTCCATCGGTTAAAGCCAAGGAGCTAAATCCAAGGTTGCACAACCTAAGACCAGGGCTCTGTCGGCAGCATTCCCATAGACCACAGGGACAAGCACCTGGGCCTGCCTTTGGAGGCTCCACATTGCCCTGACTCGGATAGTCTGGGGGACAGAGCCTAGCACAGCCTCACCATGACAGACAGTTCTGCTGAGAGTGCCTGCATGCACTCTGCTCCACATCAGCCTATGTAATCCTCATAGACAGCTCATGAGGGAAGCACCATCCCCACTGGACAGATGGAAAAGCCAAGGCACAGAGGTCAGTCACTTACACAGGGTCACGCAGCTGAGATCTGAACCCAGTGAGTCTGCCTCTAGAGACTGAGGCCCTCACCAAACCACCACTTCGCTTGCAGCAGCCTTCATCCCCTGGAATTCCTACACATGCAGCTGTCCCTACAACTCACAGGCCCCAGAGAGAACCAACAAGGTCCTGCTCCCAACTCCTGAGCACTTCCTCCTTCTCCTACTCAATAGGCATAGCTGTGCCCACTGGGCCTCCCTGCAGGTGTGTCTCTCCTCCCTAACTATTTTACAAGCCCTGGAAGTCAGGACGTAATGCCTTGTACCTCTCAGCGCCCCCAGAGAGCATCCTGATATATGATAAGAATAAGCAATATGTCAACTACAACTACCACGGGTCTGAATGAAAAGGCCTCTGCAATCTCCTCCCGTCTTCTACCTCTGTCCCCCATGTGAGCACAAGGATGCCCTGCCATGTCTCTACAGTTCCTTCTCACTAGGCTATTCTCAGTGGCCCAGGCCAGAAACTAAAGTCAAAGCTTACCCTACGAGGGTAAACACCTGATCCCTAAACCCTCTCCCTCTCTGCTTCGAGAAAGATCAAAGGGGGCTCGGTGCCCATAGTGCAGTGGTATGGTGCCAGCCATTTACACTGAGACTGGTGGTTCGAACCCAGACCATGCCTGCAACAAAAAACAGCCAGGTATTGTGGTGGGTGCTTGTAGTCCCAGCTACTAGGAGGCTGAGGCAAGAGAATCATTTGAGCCCAGGAGTTTGAGATTGCTATGAGCTGTAACACCATGGCTCTCCACCAAGAGTGAAATAGACTCTGTCTCAAAAAAAAAAAAAGAAAGATCAAAGGAGAATAATGCCACTCATTCCCTCCCAGCCCTGGGAAATGCAGGCTGGGGGCCTCAGGTGCTCCACCTACAAAATGATTATTTTAACTAAAACCTCCTCTGCTTCTAAAATGCTATGACCAACTCCAAGTGGGAAGATCCAGGGAGACCTGCTTCTCAGTTGGGTTTTGAGTATGGTCTATACCAGGCATCCTCCAACTATGGCCCGCGGGCCACATGCAGCCCTCCTAGTACATTTATCCAGCCCGCCAGATATTTTTGCTGCCGCTGCCTGTCCTGCTTAGCAGCCAACTCGTCCCAGGGCCCGCAGTCCTGCCCTCCAAAGGTCTGAGGGACAGTGAACTGGCCCCCTGTTTAAAAAGTTTGAGGACCCCTGACACCCCAGACCTGTGTATTAGAGTATGGCTGGCTCCTTACCTATTTGGAATCTTGGAAATGTCAATCTTCTCTCTGCAGGTGATGTAAGGAATCACCACCACTTTTTTCAAGTCTGGCAGTCCTAAAAAGTAAGGGAGGACAAAACACAAGGTTACAAGACAAAGATTGTGGCTTATTTTTTAAGTGGCTAATTTTTTTTTTAAGACAAAATGTAATAAGATCTAGCCTGGGGACTACCCCCGGTTTTTGAAGCTTGCAGCTTCCAAAGACCCAAGCCCACAGACACACACATACACTCACACGCATGCCAGCTCAAAGTGGAAGGGCCACACACCTTTAACCACCTGCTGCAGCTTCTCCAGGTGGCGGTGCTCTTTGCTGTTATAGATAACAGCCTCCACAGAGAAGATCAGCTTTGGTTGAATTTGAGAAAACCGGTCCAGGACACCCTGAAAAGGGGAAGAAAAGTCATCACTGATCATCCAAAAGGCAAAACCTTCAGTGGCACTGGGCACAGTGGCTTATACCTGTAATCCTAGCACTCTGAGAGGCCGAGGCAGCCAGATTGCCTGAGCTCAGGAGTTTGAGACCAAGCTGAGCATGAGTGAGACCTCATCTCTAAAAAACCAGGAGGGCGTAGTGGTGCATGCCTGTAGTCCTAGTACTCAGGAGGCTGAAGCAGGAGGATTGCCTGAGCCAAAAAGTTTGAGGTTGCTGTGAGCTATGAAACCATTGCACTCTACCAAGGGCAACAAAGTAAGATGCTGTCTCCAAAAAAAAACTTTCAGTGGCCCATGGGACCATCATGTACAAGCCACATCCCTGTTTCCCCAGCACCCATGGCCAATAAAGAAAGTCAATGAAAGCACAACCTCCATGTGATAAACTACCAGCATTCCAAGGAAGACATTAATATCAATAAATACCGAAAGGATTTTCAGGCATGTACTGAAATGGGAGAACACAGGGCGCATATTTGCAGTACCAAAAAGATTCCCCATTTAAAAAAAGAACCTTTTAACATGGCTCTCTAGTATACATGAAAGGTTCATCTTCCAAAACACTAACTATAGCATTACACAGTGGTCCCCTATTTTGGTTCTTTAAATGTTCAATTAAAAAAGAATCTAAATCCTCTAAACGCTACATTTTTGCCAACCAAATGCATAAACCTTGCACATATCCACTAGTTAATGAGCCCATCTTACACGCAGGCTCACCACACTCAGGTGTCTGTCTACACTGCACCCAGAATCCGCCATCCCACCAAGGGCACCTCTTTCCTAAAAGAAGGGATTGCTCCCACCTAGGTCAAGGGGCTTGTTTCTGGAACTGAGGTGAGCTGACAAGGGTGGCTTCATGACACACCTTGAAGCTCCCTGAGTGCTAGTCCAGAGCTAACAGATTAAAGCCGCCTAAAATCAGGTCTCTGTTCATCTCCCCTCTGGGCCATTGCAAGTTCAGAACACAGGAAGGGATTTTTATCCACAAAGAAGGCCAATTCCCTTATAAAGGTTCGAGATCGGCTTGGCACCTGTAGCTCAACCGGCTAAGGCGCCAGCCACGTACACCTAAGGTGGCGGGTTTGAATCCAGCCCGGACCCACCAAACAACAATGACGGCTGCAACCAAAAAATAGCCGGGCGTTGTGGCGGGCACCTGTGGTCCCAGCTACTTGGGAGGCGGAGGCAGGAGACTCGCTTGAGCCCAGGAGTTGGAGGTTGCTGTGAGCTGTAATGCCACGGCTCTCTACCTAGGGGTACAGCTTGAGGCTCTGTCTCAAAAAATAAATAAATAAATAAATAAAGGTTCGAGATCAATGCCTGGGCTACTCCAGGGGTGCATAGGGTGATATGAGAACCTCCTTGTAATGACTCACAGAGCAGGGGTGGGTGTTGTTAGAGCCACCCAAGGTGGGACTATTAAGCTAATTAAGCTCATTAGAGTAACTAATTAGCTGGGTTTGTTTTCAGAGCTCCCAGGTGACTCTTAGCTGGGGAGGAGAAGCCCCCACTCAGCAGGAGCCTAAGGGGCAGCAGCATCCGCACCACCACCTGAGCCCCACCACCACCCCCAGGCCTAATGAACTGGAAACTCTGTGGGGGTGCGGAAGGGGGCTCAGCAATCTGTTTTCACCAGCCCTCCAGATGGCCCTGATCTATGATAAAATTTCTGAATCTCTGCGCTAAAAAGCTCAAGGATTGAGAGTTTACTTTCAACGCTGTCCAATTTTCCAAACCAGAAGCTGTGCTAACGGAAGAGTAGGGGGGAGGAAGCATTTTCTATTCCATGTACTGGGTGCCAGGCACAGTGCCAGTGAAGCAACAGACATGGTTCCTCCTTTCTGGAATACACAAGCTATCAGAAACACAGGAGGAAAACAATTATAAATGTTATTGTTTTCCACTTCCAATTGTTTCCAGAGAACTATATTCACAGCTTAGGAAGCCAGGGGAAAGAAAAGAAAAGAAGGAAGGAATTCAGGCCATAATGAAAACCGAAATCTTTTTGCCCAATAAAATAAAATCCTTGGCAAATCTGATCAACAAAAAAGATAACACTGATCAGGCACAGTGGCTCATGCCTGTAATTCTAGCACTTTGGGAGATGAGGCAGGAGGATCACGTGAGCCCAGGAGTTTCAGGTTGCAGTGAGCTATGATCATGTCGCTGCACTAAAGCCTGGGAGACAGAGCAAGAACTTGTCTAAAAAACAAAAAATGATTTGAGAACTGGTGCAAGCCCTGAAGAGAGAAAGGCCTCCTAATACAGACACCATGGTGAGTAGCACTGTAGGGCAGGGCCACAAAATCTCCCTAAACTAAAGGAGATAGACACCATCACAGAAGGCAGGAAAGGACAGAAAATACACAAACCAGAAAAGGTTACAGACCAATGTTACTTACCACAGTGACAGACTGAAGGGGTGGGGTGGGGAAATGGCATGATCGTCTCAGACGTATTTGACAAAATGTGACACTTTTTTGTCCAAAAAGCTTTCATAAGCTGGAAACTGGAGGAAAAATTTACTCATTGACAAAAGGTATACTGATGGCACATATCACGTGCGGTAAAGGATGGGGATCCCAGTGAGACAAGAGCACAGTCCCCAGGACCTCCCTCTGCCAAGGCGATGGGTGGAAGTTAGAAATGGCCTGGCTTAGTGAAGACCATGGGGACAGCTGTGTGGAAAAATCCATGAAAATGACTAGAAAAACCATTAGAACGAATCAAAGTTAGGCAAAATGGCCACATCCAAACTCAATACAGAAGAGTAAATAGCACTGTTCCACACCAGCAAGACAGTTTGAAAAGTTAATAAGGAAAAGGGAACAAAATAAAACGTGAGAGCAAATCACTACAGAATTTTTTTGAGACAGTCTCACTTTGTTGCTCTTGGTAGAATGTCACGGCATCACGGTTACAGCAACCTCAAACTCTTGGGCTCAAGCCATCCTGCTACCTCAGCCTCCTGAGTAGCTGGGACTACAGGCATATGCCACCATTCTCCACTGATTTAAAAAATTATTTTGAGGCTGGGCACAGTGGCTCACACCTATAATCATAGCTCTCTGGGAGGCCGAGGAGGCCTTGAGCTCTCCTTGAGCTCAGGATTCAAGACCAGCCTGAGCAAGAGCAAGACCTTGTCTCTAAAAATAGCCAGGTGTTGTGGTGGGCACCTGTAGTCCCAGCTACTTGGGATGTTTGTTGATGTTTGTGACATCTGATGTGTTCTGTTCTATAACCATGACCATTACTCCACTTTGTGTCACAAGCTGGAAGCTGCATTTTATGGACTTGATTAACTGAGTCATAACCAAAACTCTTTGCTTGCTTCAGGGCCCTTTTTAACTATCTTGCCTGGGAACCAGAAAAATAGCAGGTAGCAATTATGGCTAAAAAGAGAAGGAAAATGGGCCCAAGTGGCCACTAAGGTAATCTGTGACCAATGAGAAGTACGATACCTAGGACCTCAGGGGATCAATGAAAACTTTGTAGGTTAAAGCAATAACTGAGAAAATGACATGAAGGCTGTGTTGACCAGTTGATGGAAGTATTTCAGATTGCATGTGAAAACCCCACACTGTACCCTAGAAGTTCATTAATGTACATAGTTACCGTTCAATAAAAAAAAGAAAAAAAAA